AACTGCTGGAAGATGACAGACACCTCCAGAGACCAGATATTTCACTTCCAAAACAGGTCATTAGGACAGAGAAGATGAACTGCTCTCTGGAAGTGCTTGTCTTTCTACACAGCTTATAGAAGTAGCCTAAGCTAGACACCAATAGCTAAGTTGCCCAAGGTAGACCTTATTCCCCCCTAAGGCTTTTTAATTCATAAAAATCCAATCAATCAGAAACCCAGAACCAGGTTTTTGTACCATAGCATCATATATTAGTTCTACCAAATGGAATCAGTCTTTTGAAAATAAGGCCTTTCATTTGCCTTCAGAAAAAATTGTGGTTGCCTTTCTGTAGCATGGCAAAATTTGGGCAAATTTTCAAATTTAAGGGGAAAAAAAAAAAAGTTCTTTGTAAGAAACGTAGTGATTCTGAAAAGAATGACAATATGACCTGACACAGTGGAGACGCTCTAGGCAATGAAAAATATTTATGTTTCCAGTAAGAAAACAACTCTCTGATCCTGCACTCTTGGGCTGTCTGGCAATATTTTTTTTTCCTTGCTATAGAGGTAGACTAACACTGCAGTTTTAAATCAGTCTATCTTTTCCAGAGAACACAATTCATTGTCAACAATGAGTAGCAGAAAACACACGTAATGTTGCCTTTCAAACAATGAAATAAAATAAAAATAAAAAACTTATTGGTTGCACTTCTTTTTTTTCCTCTTGAACTAATTGATTTCTCCTCATTTATCATCACCCTATCAGCTCAACTCAAGGAGAAATGGACAACGTATTCAATGTACCATCACTACGATATAACATTCCTATCTAAGGTCCAATAAACATAGAGAGTTGTCCAGGATTACAAAGTATTCATGCCCCAGCCCTAGCTTCATTATATAGGTAATGCTATTCTTGAACATATACAGATATACGTATGATGGTGCTAAATATGTAGCATTTTTGTTCTTTTTTTCATCTACCCACATTAACCCGTACTTATTTCTAAGCATTCTTTCCTGTCCTACAGTTTTTATGATTGAATTACCTTTAACAACCAAACTGGCAGATGTTTTCTTATCACCAGCTTCAAATGTAATGACCCCCGAGTCCTTCAGTGAGAGTTTTTTCAACGTTAGCAAGTGATATCCACCAGGCTGAGACTGGATCTCATTAAGTTCATTGGTATGGAGTGGGGTTTTATCCAAAAACCACTGCACTTTGCTATAGTCTACAGGAGAGATTCTGCATTTGAACATGGCAGATTCTCCTTCTAACACAGTGACATCTTCCAGGTCTTCTGTTATTAGCACTTTCTGGCCTGAAAGGAACATAGATACATCAATTACTGGAATCTTCAGTTTCTAGCATGAAAATCGATATGGAAAACTCCAAGATTTCCCATGTGAGTATTTCAAGAAAGAGATACATTCATGATACAGAAGACTGAAACACAATTTCCCTGTTACTGAACACAGAAACCATTCACAGGAAGATAATATATACAGGGGACACACCAAAATAGGATGAAGACAACTTCAAAGCACCAGAACACAGACAACAGAACAAGTAGCTAGTACAATTCAAATCCAGTGTTATAAAGTTTCTCCTAACGGAACTACCTGGAAAGGCTGAAAGGATGCAGCTCTGACAGCATCATTGGGCTCTAGACATCACTAAGCAGATAATCCCTCCCACGACAACCCCTCTGTTTTTCTACAGCAAATATAACTTGCTTTCTATGGGATAGGACCACCTAGCTCCCACCTTCTTTGAGCTAAGCCCAACCATAAATACAGTAGGAGATGGAGAGAGTGTCTGACTGCAGCTTTAGTAAAAGGAAACAAAACAACAGCCCTGAAAACTTGTCTGTACAGATATAGATATACACCTATCTAAACAAATAAATAAATAAAGGTTATCACTGTAAACAAAGGTACATCTGATGTTGCTCCTACTTACAAAACCAGGACAGGGAATTTTTACTTTTTTCTTGAGCTTTGTCACAGAGAAGTATTTTTTCACTCAGAAAAGTTGGTGTTAGAAACCTCACAGTGAATTCAGGTAGCTCACATCCTGAGGCCATGATGACGATTAAGCACGCTTCTTTGCTTCTGCAAAGGCTGCTCTGGCAGATGATCAGAGGTGGAGGAGTCTGGCTTTACTCCCTAGTCTTTAATAACTAACTATAATAATTAATAAGTGGGCACCACCACTGCATGTCCATGTGACTATTCTTGAATATATATATATATATAACATATATATACACGTCATCAGAAATCAGTAAATCTGCAACCTGTATGCTGAGAAATAGATCTGCCTATGCATATAATGTTTCCTGGTGGAGAAACAGGATGTAGGGTACCTTTAGATTACATGTTAGGAAGAAATCCTTCCCTGTGAGGGTGCTGAGGCCCTGGCAGAGGTTGCCCAGAGAAGCTGTGGCTGCCCCTGGCTCCCTGGCAGTGTTCAAGGCCAGGTTGGATGGGGCTTTGGGCACCCTGGGCTAGTGGAGGGTGTCCCTGCCCATGGCAGGGGGGGTGGAACTAGATGGGCTTTAAGGGCCCTTCCCACCCAAACCATTCCGTGATTCTATGATTCCTCTCATGCATACCTTGCACGACTAGCTTGGCTCTGGACTGGGCATCACCAATGTCACAGGTGTAAGTGTCACTGTCGCTTTTCTCCAAGTTCTTTATGGTCAGCTGCAGGACTTGTCCTTTCTGTGTGATCTCGTATTTCCTGCTAGCCCTGAGTTCAGCTATGCCTTTCCTCCAGACCACAGAGGGTGCAGCTTTCTCAGTCTGGCACATGAAAACTGCAGTTCCATTTTCATCAGCTTTTAGATCTGAAAGTTCTTTGACAAAATAATTAGGTTTTTCTGGAAGGGAAAAAAAAAAAAAATAAAAAATAGAAAGACAGATTTGTTACCCAAACAAGTCCTGTGCATACAGAATGGTCTTGAATCCCCTCTGCACCCACTTGTGGAATCACACAATATAGAGATAGAAAGGATCCAAGAATATCACCAGGTCCACCTCATGTCACAGGGCATATCAGATAAAATATTTCCAGAAGATATGTGGAAAGTTTAATGTCATTGTATAGGTGCTGGTGAGATCTTATCTGGCACACTGCATACAGTTTTGGTCACTCATATTCAAAAGAGACTAATTCAAACTGCCAGCCTGGATTGGCTCATTATGTAGCACATAAGATTCCTCAGTACCTTCAGAGGTTTTTTTCAAAGTTCTTAATCCATGACATTTTTTTTTAAAACTAAAAATTGATCCTGTTTAGGGAGATAGAAGAGAAGAACATCTCCCCCAGGTTGCAGTTATTTGCCCCAGCTTCTGTACATGCCAGCCCCTATGCACGCTTCTACTGACCTTGCACTGTGATCCTGGCTTTTGTTTTAGAGACCTCTGTCTCACAAGTGTACTCCCCACTGTCCTTGACCGTGGAGTCATGGATGATCAGAATGGCCCGTGTCCCCTCTTGATGCAAGTCATATTTCTGGCTTTTTCGGATTGCTTTGCCATCCTTATACCATCTGATGCTTACATCAGGTTTTGACAATTCACAGCTCAGCCTGATGTCCTGCCCTGCTGCTGATGTTTTATCCTCCAGCTGTTTTGTAACCTCAGTAGGTTTTTCTGAAGAAGAGGGAAAAATAATAAAAGGAACTTTGAATAAAAATCATGATCACTATATGGTTGGGGTTTTTGCAATTTAAATATCAGGTACGTTTTCACATTCCCCAATGAATGATTCATATTATGTTAGGAAAGGGAGGGAAGAAGCAGTCCTGCTCTTTAGTACATATTAATTGCAGTTATGGGCTCTCAGTGAGTATTGTTGATTGCTTACAGGAACTGAGGACTTGTCCTGATGGCATACTTTTCAGGGGATGTCATTTTGTCATTACTGAAGCTACTGTAGGCATGCAGTTATGGTGGGATCTATCTCACCAAATGCAGACATCTATGCTATAGAGATACATAGCAGAGGTGTTCACTCCAGGGTCACCCTGCAGCCAGCAGTGATCTGCTAAGTACGGGCAATGGACTTCAAGGAACAATTTATTTTGTCCCAAATAGGTCTAACTGTGGATGATGAACCATGTCTGAAAACTACCTATTTCCTCTCTCCACTACCTACCCAGGGAGCCTTGGGTGATAATCTCAGATGCACACGTCCTGGGTAGTAATTTTCTGTACAATTACACAACCCAGTGGATTCTGCAATTCTCAAATATCTATAAAAAGTTTAAGCCTTTGACTTGTTTTTAAGGAAAAATCTCAGTGTTTCAAGGCTGACAGAGAAGGCTGCTGTTCACTTTGATCATAACAGGAGTTTGCCCTCATGGTTTACTGACATACGTTATGAAAAAGATACCCAAGAAATCAAACCTCAGAACCTTTCTCATCTCATTACCTTTCACAACCAGAGAAGCCTTGGAGGTTAGACCACGGGCCGTGAAAATGACTTCCCCAGCATCATCAGGAATCACGCTTTTGATATTGAGCATGTATTTCCGACCCATGTTAGAGGCTTTAAATCGCCCACCACTTTCCACTTTGCTTCCGTTCAGCGTCCAGTTGAAGTCATCAATGCTTTCGTGGGACAAAATACACTCAAAAGTGCAATCTTCTCCCTCCTGGATTTCAGTGTTTTTCAGCCGTTTGGTGATGCCAATGTTCAGTTCTGGAAGACAAAAAGTAACTTAATACAAGGAGAGAAGGCTTTTATAATTTACATGAGTAGTAGCATTGACATTTTTAGACTGGTTTATCTACTAGATTGGCAGGACAGCACTGCATTCCTTACAGATGCATTTTAAATGGGAAAGATTTTTCTGACATTATCCACTCAGAATTACCATAAAGTTATAGAAAAAGGGACACGTGGAAGGACTGCATGAAGAACAGCTCACTCAGTGGAGAAGAGTCAAGATTCAATGAGCTAGAGGGGAGAAAAGCTGTCAGGAAGCCTTTGGGATGTTGTGTGAGGTTTTTCTTCATGCTGATATGAGAAATGGGATGTTTGTATTTGTTAACTTGTTATCATCCTACCCTTCCTGGTGTTCAAATCAGAGAAATTCAAAATTCATCTTATTATCAATACGAGTTTAAAAGCCATGAACACTCCTTTCCTTCAAGCAGCCACAAGGATGAGAGGACAGGCTGAACTGCTGGGTTCTTCAATAGACAATGTTGTCCTACTTTTGTGTCCCTACAATGGACTCTGAATTAATAGCTGAAAAATATGAAACACAAGCTGTTTGGGGGTTTTGGGGGTTTTTTGGTGGTTTGATTTTTTGTTTTTGAGAAATTAGTTGCTCTTCGGGGAGGATTTCTTCTGCACCTTGGCGATTTTCAGGAAGGTAATGTTGCCACTACATTCTTGACATGTGATTTTCACTGAAACACCAGATCATCAAGGAGTAACAGGGATTTTTCAGACATCGTGTTATGTGAGACTCATGGAGGAATAGGTGTCAGACAAAGTGACCAAGCCCACCCGTATTTGCAGCACCCCTTGACTGGCCATCGTCTACACACTTACCCTGAACGCTGACCTTTGACTTGGCAACATCAGTGCCAATATCACATGTGTATAAACCTGCATCTGTCTTTTCGAGGTCATGGATAAGGAGGCACAGGGTCTTCCCAGACTGTATCTGCTCATACTTGTTACCAGAAGTGAGCGTCACACCATCCTTTTTCCAAACAGGTTTCACCTTCTCTTTTGAGACTTCACATTCCAGTTTAATTACACCTCGCTCCTCACCAAAAACATCATCCAAGGACTTCATGAAGACAGCAGGCTTCTCTGAAGGTTAATGGGCAAAACAGAGAACAACCAGGATATTTAAGTTGAGACATTTCAGTTGCTACCAAGTATTTAAAAGAGAGCTTAAGTAAACCCTTGGCAATGCTGACGATACCAATGCAGAACCTAAAGCAGTCTCACACCCCATGACTGGAATGAGTTTTAGGGAAATCAGAATTTATTAACGGGAGGATGCAGGGAAGGAGAGAGGCAGCCTGCATTGCCATGGACAGGTAGTAATATTCAGTGCTGTAATCATGGCCTTTCTTATGACTGCACACCTATGAGATTGCAAGGACTTATTTTTCTCTGTGTTGGGACTTCTGTCAGGTACAGGAGATCCCCCCACAGGGAAGGGGGCTTGGAGCAGGCATGTAGGGCCCTAGTGAAGGCCAGAGGGACAGCTTCACACTTCCCTAGAACAGCTACTCAACAAGATAGACTAGATTTAAGGAAACCTTTGTCTGCATCATGGACAAGTAGAAAATGTTCTCTGGGAATGTTCTTTCTCATTGCAGCAGTCTACAAGTGGAAAGGGGTCAGATGGTTAGAAGAAAAATGCGTGAAGAAAAGTATTTGGGATGCAGGTCGTCTAAAGCCAGAGAGCTGGCACTGCCTTTTCACAAAGAAGGATTCATGCAGTAGGAGCAGCGATAAAAGGATATGTTGCATTCTCCTCACCCTACTGCACATTTTTGCTCTTGCCTCTTTGTTTTATTGATTCCTTTTGTACAATTTAAAATATATGTGACACTGAAGATATTTATACAGAGGAAAATTTTGACCAGATATAAAAGAAAGTAGGAAGAGGAAATCCATTAGACTCTCTGAGTGGACAAAGTAAAAGAGTCAAATTATTCAGATACTCTGGGAAGAACAAATTAGTCATGATCAGGAGGCAAAATGCAAAGGAAATCAGAGAGATGATTCTGTAAGAGGATATGGAGGGCATCAGACTCTGAAATTCAGAGAGAATGGTTCAGAACATTTCCCACTCATGTTTCCAGATACATGGAGTTAATTTAGGATAACAAATCACTATGATCAACTGAGCATGCATGCACAAGTGTGTTGCTAAAGAAATAAGTGATTTTGAAATTTTGGTGGGAGTTTTACCTCATGTTTCTAACATGCCTACAATAATTCACGCAACTTGCTATGGCTTAGCTGATGCACAAGAACATGTTAAACCACAGCAACTCAGATGTGTGACAAAACTTTGAGGCATATGAAAGACAGCAGCCAACTGCCTCCTCTTTGCTGAATCAGTCCAACCCCAGAACTGATGTACTGAGAGGTGTGCCCTACCCTTGGAGGTACACTGAAGTTCAGCTCCTTGCAGACAAAAATCTTTATAAACAACAGTTTATAGACTATATACAATTGAAGAGACCTACAAATAAAGGAAAGTGCTCTTGAGACTATCCTGATGACAAGTAAAAAGATGCTAAATAGCTATGGAAAGTTTTGGCAGGAGTCCAAAACAGTCTTCCTTAGAAAAATCATCAGCTAGAGTAGAAACTTCGACTGGAAGAAAGCCCTTCCACACTTATTACTCAGCCCCAGAGAGGTGAAGCTTACAAGCAGGATTGCTGCATGGATATGGTAAATAAGAGCTCCTTTGCATCTCTTATTTACACTCAGGAGGTGTGCAATCATGACCCACCTATCACCTTCAGACGCACGCTCTCTGACACCTTGTCTGACTTCATAGTCACTGTGCCGGCATCCTCAGGCTTGACCTGCTTCATTGTCAGTGTGTAGCAATTGCCAACGTTCCTGATGTCATTGAAGTTGTTGGTGTAAAGGAGGGTGCCGTTGAGGAACCATTCCACATCCTCGTCATCATGAGACAGCTCACAGGAGAAGACAGCGGAACTCTCTTCTTCAATTTCCATGTCCTGCAGGTGCTTGAGTATTTCTACATTGCGGGCTGTAGGAAACCAAGGTGCACCATCACCGCTGTTACCATGAATCAGTACTGTTACCACAAATAGATTTCACAATGGTTAGAGTTTATTAGATGATTTAGTCTGGTCTCCTGTACACCGTGGGTACGTTTCATTTACTTGGTTCTGCGTTTGGTCCAACAAAAAACATCCATTAAAAAGACTATATTGTCCTTCAATTCTCTTTTCACACATAAAACTTTTTTGCTTTTTTTTCCTTTTTAATGTAAAAATAAGTAAATATTTCTAAAATGGTAATAACATTACAGTGATGTCTAAAAACCCCACAGAGCTCCAATCCTGGTGTGCTCGTCACTGCACACACACATCCGCTTTATAACTAAATTGTTTCACTGCCAGGGAAACACAAAGGATGAGATGAAGACAATGGTTTTGGCCACAAACAGCAAGTACAAAGAGATTAAGCAACTTGTTCGGGTTTAGGGAGTAACAGGAACTGATTTCTTTTCTTTTCCGTCTTGGCCAGATGTTTCTCTTTGCAGCTTCTCTGCTCATGAAGTGCTGTTTCTCAAGGACTGGCTAACTCAAAGGAGGGTTTGGCAGTATTTATAATTTTTAAACCTCTACAAGACCAAATTGTTACCAAAAGCTGCTCCCTGGACTTCTGGAAATGATTGCGTGGCTCATCTCCAAGGCTTGCTGAAAATGACACAGCGATCATCTTTTCTTACAGTTTCACCAGAGGTGAAGAACTGGCTAAGAATTGTGCCATACCCAGATGAGGTAGAACATCATTATGACTAAGAAACTTATAGCAGATATAAAAAGCTGACACAGTGGCCAGGAAATTAAAACCACAACTGAGATCACTAGAGGTCTACAGCAGTTTAACATAAAGGACATTTTTAGAGTCCTAGTTCCTCGGATGAAATGGAAAATAAATGTGCCTTGAGAAAGACACATGAATTTCTGCCTTACCCAGGTGGTGCCTTTCCACACGTATCGCCTACTTCATGGCAAGTGCTGGATTTCAGCATCACAGAATATCAGCACAGTGCATAATGTAGTTCATTCACTTACGATATTGCATTTATATAAAATTAGAAGATAACTGTGGGAACCTACCTTTACTCAACAAGAGAAACCCAGAGTGAAATACCAAACCATAAAGACATGAAACAAGTAAGTCCCCCTGCTGCAAACCACTCGTACCTTCAACAGTCAATGTGGCTTCAGTCTCTGCGTTTCCAGCCCTGCACTTGTACACGCCAGCATCTTCGGGCTTCACCTTCAAAATCTTGAGTTCTGCTGAATGCTGCTCCCGCCTGATTTTGTACTTCTCAGAGGGCTCGATGGGTGTGTGGTCCTTGAACCACTTCACAACCTTCGGAGAAGGCCTGAAGTCGCAGGACAGGATGACTGAGTGGCGCTCCAGAGCTGTCTTGTCCTCCATCTTCCTGGTGATCTGTATGTGGTAATCTGCAAAGCAGGGTTGGGAAAGAAGAAAGGATTAATCTGAAGAGGAGGCAAGTTTCTAATCTGTCTTTCGTGCTAATTAATTTAATGTATGTCATTCACAACTGTTTTATGAATTGCTTAGATGATGCTACAGGTTTCTGTTACAGAATTGATTTGCTTTGGAGATAAAACAAGGTGATGTTCTATAGGGAATGCTGGTTTCTATAATATAATATGATAATATTAACTACCAAATGCATGGTCCAGTTCTGGTTCAGTGCTTACTGAATTGCTCTCTAATTAAAGTTTTTATGCCAGTAAGAGCAAATTAAAAGACAAAACAAGGACTTTGGGATGTGATTGGAGATATTTACTATGGTGACAGCAGAAGATAAAAACCCTTGAAGCTTTGTCCTAGATCAAGTCAATGACAAAGTGGATTAAGTAAATGAGCTATCAAACTTGTCTAGTTCAGATATGGGACAAAATAAAGTCTCCTGGCAAATTTCATCTGGTTTGTCCTCTTTGGTAAAGTCAAGAAGAAAAAACAAAACCAAAAAGACGGTCTTAGCTCACTAGATTTGAATACCAGGTTTGAATACTAGGCACACCGAGCTTATTTAATAAGATGCCTTCCTTGGACATTGCTGTCTCATTTTGCACATCCAACATTGCACCCAACAAATGGTAATTGGGAACTGAGCAGATCTTCCAGGTACACATACATTTCCAAGACCCCACCCAGTCGATCCTGCATATTGGACAGTGTTTCTGAAAAATTACTTTCCAGGGACTGGAAAATTACTTTCCAGGATCTCTCACAATCTAATTCAAGCCAGGACATATCACATTACCTCTGACAAGCAGGTTTGCTGTGGATTTTGATTTGCCAATGGAGAACTGAACGGTGCCTGTCATATCGGCACTGGTTTTCAGTATTGTCAGCCTGTGGATGGTGCCTTCTTGCTGCATGATAATGTTTCTGCCAGCCTGTAAGATTTCTCCGTGTAGAGACCATTTGGGGGGTTTCACAGATGGAATGGATATCTCACATTCAAACTTGGCTTCTTCAGGCTCAGTCACATCCTCATCACACAACTCCTTTACAATACTAATGGATTGCTCTGGATGAAGGATGGAACAGGAAAGCAGAGATTAAGGTGTCATGAAAGAAGTCTTTCATTAGCGTCCTGCACACTCATGCCATCTTTACTGCACTTGAATACTGCACTTATTGGCTTAAAAGACCTTAAACCATTCTTTTTTTGCATGGAAATAAACATATATTGCTGGCCACAGGTCAGACAGTGAGACTGTGACACTGCCCCAAGAGAATCCAGATCTTCTGAATCCCAGTCCTATTTCTAAAGCCACCTTCCTACTCTGATATCAAACACCTGGCACTATATAAAATGGAAAAGAAGGTTCATCATTGAAATGCAGGTGTTGCTAATAGGAAAGACATTGGCTAGCTACAGCAACTTTTCTCTGAACAACAGACTTTCTCCAGTACATCTGATAAACTTATCTGGAACAGAAATTTCCTTAGGAGAATATACTATATATTAATTTTCTAGGATGTTCCTGCCCTTATAATCCTAAAAGGAAGCAATATCAATGGACTTCAGAAAAAAATCAACACTGAGTTAAAATAGTTTAAGTGGTATTGTGTTTTTAGAGTAAATGACAAGGGCTTTTTGAATCAGCCAATCCTCATTCCAATGCATCCTAGAGGGGAAAAAATGGTTTACTACCTTCAACAAAGAAATTAGCACTGCTTTTGTCATCAAAGGCGTCACAAGTGTACGTGTCTTCATCTTCATAATCTGCATCGTTGATGATGAGTTTCCGATAGACACCGTCGCTCACAATTTCATATTTGTCACTAGGGTGAATTTCACGGTCCTTTTTGTACCACCTAACCTTGGCATTGGCACGAGACACCTGGCACTCCAGGAATCCCCGGTGTTTTTCAAGAGCGATCTTATCTCGCAAAGGTTTCACAATTTTTACAGGCAGCTCTAAAAGGAGTAAAAAAAAAAAATTAAAAAAAAAATGGAATAATCAATACAGTTTCTCTGAAAGGTGCCAGTTAAAAACTCATTAGCAATATTTCTATATTTCTTTTATGGTCAGTTATGTGGATGATGACAGGAATTTCCACTATTCTAAGCACTCAATTTACACACAGCAAGTGAAGAGCTAATAAAAGGAAAACTTTTTATCCCTATTTTACCACTTGGATGACTGAACTGCAGAGATAACAGGTAATTTACTCAACATTACACAGCAGTGTTATGGCAAAGCCAGGGACTGATCTCAGATTTCCTGAGCTCCTCATCAGTGTGTTAATTTAAATGTCTGTCTTCTCTCTGTCTCCATCACACTGTTTAAGTTAAATAAATAAATAAAAAAACAGCGCTGTATTCTTTTTAAACACACAACAGGAAGAGAAAATGCAGAAGAAATTCAAGCTACAGCTTTTTGTCCCTCAAACATGACTTTTAATTGCTTAGGGTACAAAATCAACCTTCTGAGAAACTAACCTGTGTTATTTAGCAAAAATAAATTCCCCACAGTGAGGCTGATATTTCACATGCCATAAGGTAGGCAGGAGTTTTTCTTTCCCTGAAAGCTCTAGGTGTTGTTGTTTAACTTTCTTCAAGTTAGAAGTGAGAGAAGTTGGTTGGTTTGTACCATGAGAGAGCTTAAACAATATTGGCATGAAAAGCATAATTACCTTTTACAGTAAGCTGGGCACGAGATTCTGCCTTTTCTGCTACAAATTTGATCTCTGCTGCATCTTCGACTTGAACGCGCATGTAAGTCAGCGAATAGGTCTTTCCTGAGAACAGACACACAATCAGACATAGCTTCCCCTGAGCAAACAGCTTCACTCTCCAAGGCACACTGCCAGGTTGAGCATCGCTCATCCAGTTTCAGTGCATCACCGCCTGCTCTCACGGCAGCAGGGCTGACCATTCCCCTACATCTGTGTCCCTGTATCAAAGGATAACCTAACCTCAGCTCCTCCAAGGACTGATTGAATGTGGTCTCCACCACCTGGAAAGTATTTGTAAGAGAAGGATACCACCCATTGTTAGATGATAGAAATTCCTACCCACTGCTGGCAGCATGGGATGATGGGATGACACCAAATTTGCCTTAAAGTTCCCACCACGTCACTGTCCCACCTTAGCTGCAGCCCCAAAGCAAAGGACAACCCTCTGCTAAACCTTCTTAACTTGATTTTGAAGGTCAGACCCTTCTGTCTAGTCTCCAATACCAGCACCTACTCCAACCCACCCCATTCAAGAATGAGATCCCCCTTTTTCATCCTACCGTCTTGACGCATTCTAATATTGTCGGCAGCCTTCAGCTTGTTGTCATTTTTGTACCATTGGGTTTGGACCTCATCATGTGAAATCTCACAGACGAAAGACGCGCTCTCATATTCATTTACTTCCACATCTTCCAGTGGTTTAACAATCTTGATATCTCGGGCTGTGAAATCATAGAGACAAATATTTCTTTTGGGCTTCTCCATAACTGATTGCTGTGTGTTTACCTTCTGCATACATGGATGGAAAAAATGGGATTGTGTTTTATTGTACACCAGCCTCCCTTCCTGGGTAGTTTCTTTC